TTCAGGCAATTCTCCTGCCTCAGCCTCCTGAGTAGCTGGGATTACAGGCACGCGCCACCATGCCCAGCTAATTTTTTGTATTTTTAGTAGAGACGGGGTTTCACCGTGTTGACCAGGATAGTCTCGATCTCTTGACCTCGTGATCCACCCGCCTCGGCCTCCCAAAGTGCTGGGATTACAGGCTTGAGCCACCGCGCCCGGCCCCTATTTACTGATATTTCTATAAGAAAGTTTGTTTTTATTTTCAAGCATGCAGAAACCATTTATAACTTGGGAATGCCTGAAATCCATATTATTTTTGCTTCTGATTTTTAACAGTTTTAGTAGTTGGTATCAGCCCTGGTGGTTGCTTTTCATTGCTTTGCATGAAATTTCCTTGTATAAAGCTACTAACCCAAGTAAAACAAAAAAAAAATTTAATTAATACCGTTTCTGGTCCGGCCTCTTTCTTTCCGTGCCGGTAGCGCTCACGCAGAAATGGTGAACGTTCCTAAAACCCGCCGGACTTTCTGTAAGAAGTGTGGCAAGCACCAACCCCACAAAGTGACACAGTACAAGAAGGGCAAGGATTCTCTGTATGCCCAGGGAAAGCGGCGTTATGACAGGAAGCAGAGTGGCTATGGTGGGCAAACTAAGCCGATTTTCCGGAAAAAGGCTAAAACTACAAAGAAGATTGTGCTGAGGCTGGAGTGCGTTGAGCCCAACTGCAGATCTAAGAGAATGCGGGCTATTAAAAGATGCAAGCATTTTGAATTGGGAGAAGATAAGAAGAGAAAGGGCCAAGTGATCCAGTTCTAAGTGTCATCTTTTATGAAGACAATAAAATCTTGAGTTTATGTTCAAAAAAAAAAAATTAATTAATATCAGGAAAATACTTCATCAGATTTTCATCTTAAACCGGCTGACACTGAAATTGTTTAAAATAGTTTATAACCAATGTTTAGTCCCATATTCCTGGGAAGACAATTAAAGCTTCATATACATTTGGTCACCTGGTGGGCCGTTTAAACATTTTGTAAAGGAATTTCATTCAATTGTTATTTGAATTCCAATTTGTCATCCTGGTTGTTAAAAGCTTTCCCATGCAAGAGGGCTGATGTTATAATAGTAGATTATTATGCTACAGTGTATTTTCTCCAGGTAAAGAAAGTTTTTTATGGTTTGAATCTTCTGGAAACATTGGAGAAAGACTGTTCCTTGTCATCCACACTACAACAAAACTTTAGGACTCTGGGCTTTGGGTTTATGGCCTCGCAGCTGAGAAGGGTCCTGCCACACTTTTGGAACTCTTGCACCCACTGGAACTGTTGAGGTAAAGCTAACCAGGGAAATTTCTCCCAAGAAGAAAATGGCATCCTTGATGTGAACAGCTTTTCCCAAGTTCACAGATTAAGACTTCTACTATCATGAAACTCTTGTCTTTGAATATTATTTTTCTTGCTT